AACCCTAAATATTAAAAACATTCACTCAGCCCTGCTGAGAGAGGAGAGATGAAAGGGATGAAAATAGACAGGAGAGATCCTGCATCATGTCTATTGGGCAGAACTCAGAGAAACTCTGTGAGATTAGATTTGAGAACTTTTGAGGCGGAGTCCGGGGAGTCAGGAAGATCCCTGAAAGCACTGGCCCACATTGTCTATCAGGTCTCAGAGGCCAGAGAAAGCCTCATGGAAACCCCTTTGTGTTCCCCATGGCATGAAGCCATCAACAATCATCCTAAAGAAGCCAGCAGGCTGGATTAGGGCTGTCTCATGAGACCCATGTGAACCAAATTGGACAATGGACATAGCAGAGGACAGATGACCCAGGAGTTAGAATGGCCCAGCTCCTTTTAGCATGATGAAGTTTCCCTGGAATTGAGGGAAAAAAGAAATGAAGTTTCTGTCTCATCTGGGATTTGACTTTTTTTTAATGAGAGAAAAAAAATGAAAGCTATATTTTCAACACACATAAATTAGTGGCATAAGAGTCATGCCTGATACAGTAGAAACCACTCTAGAGTTATATAAATCTCATGTATAAAACCTATCAATTATTGCTTAATTTGCAAACTTAATTTATTTTTGGCATTGCATGTAAAGACCTTCATCATTTACTCACTTTTTATAGCCCAAGAGTTAGATATAACATGTAATTTATAATGCTAACAACCCAAAAGTATAACATTGTAAGTAAGGAATATTATAGATCAATGCTACTATGTGGGTGTTTAGAAGCAACACCCTAAATTAAAGCCCAGAGTTTATAAAAACTCCTTCACATGATACCATTTGAGAAAAAAATGAAAGCTATATTTCATATTTTCTTTGGAAAAAACTAGTAAAATAGTTATTATGGAAATTAGTACTAGTTTATAATGACTTTAATAATGAGAAGCATATTTGAAAAAATAAGAATACTTATAGGTACAGTGCATATTACTTAGTAGTACTTCAGATAATACTGACATTCATAGTTCCTATTTGACTTGCTATAAAATCCCAGCTCTTTGGGAATTTTCAGACCAAAGACAGAAAACTCCATTGAATTCAGAGGAAACAGTTCAGATATAAATAGCAAGATTATTGCTATTGAGGCTTACTGCATCAATTCCATTGCACTTTACAAATTCCTTAAAGTTCATTATAAAAATGTGGCTGAAAAATCTAAAGATAATATATCATAATTCTATTCTAATATGAATTAATGTTCAGTTTGAATCTCTGAATATTTCTAGGCTATTCTAATTAATTTTGCTCTAGACATTTACAAAGGAAGTTAAAACTTTATGTCACATTAAATGTCAAGAGAATTGCAGCCTCTAGGGGCTCTGAGGCTCTTCATTTCCCTACTTTGTATTCTTCCTTCCCAATGACAAATAAGGACACTGTCACCACATAAGAGCACTGTCTAAAGACGTTTTATTGATCGCTGTTCTTGTGAGTGGGTTGAATATTGGAGAATGCAAGGTCTGTTGAGTCGTGTTTTCCATGTGACTGGAGACTTCTTAAAACAAGTCTGAAATGTGTTTTTGTTTGTTTTTGTTTCCTGGTTTAGAACCTCTTCTGTCTTCTCCTACTTGGCCTCTGGCTCAGTGCCATTGGGTAAGGAGTTATACATATATATTGGATAAAATGCTGGCCTTGGGCAGCGTGGGTTAATAATACGTTAAAAGCTAGGTAAAATGCTCGTTCTCTCTTTTTCCTTTTCTGCTATTGAAAAACTTTCTTAAGTGTGGGTTTAGTAGAAAACAAAGCAGTATTGGTGAAAGTTGTCTTTAGCCTAAAATACACACACCACACACACGCGCGCACACACACACAACTTGTCTATTTGTTTGGTCTAGATATAAGGTCTAGATGAACTCACCAACCATTAGCAAACTGCTAATTTTATCTCAGTTTTTGCTTTCTTGAACATATATTTCCTTAGAGACTTCAGACAGCTAGACTGTATTTGGGTCTGATTAAATTCAAAATATCCCTGACTTTTCTGACATATACATAAGTAAATAAACAAAAGCAAAATGACATATTACCACAAGTTTACTTTTTTTTTTTTTTTGAGTTGGAGTCTCAGTCCATCACTCAGGTTGGAGTGTAGTGGCACGCTCACAGCCAACCCAGTGTCGACCCGCTGGACTCCGGAGATCCTTCTGCCTCAGCCGTCCAAGTATCCAGAACTACAGGCACACACTACTGCACCCAGCTAATTTTTTTGATTTACTGTAGAGATGAGGTCTTGCCAAGTTGCCCAAGCTGGTCTTGAACCCACGGGATTAGGCAATCCGCTCGCCTCGGTCTCCCAAATTGCTGGGATTACAGGATAAGCCACCGAGCCTGGCCACAAGTTTACTTTTAATAATAAATTTCCCACTCCAATTTGTGTATATTTGCCTCCAACTAAAAATTTACTATTTCTAAAAACTAAGCTACACAACAAAAGCCACATTTTTATTTAAGTATATATTTATATGAGCTTTAGTACGTAAGTCTTTGTTTTACTTTTCTCTAAGTATATTTTAGTAATGTGTTATTTCTGATGAGAGTACACATACTTTTCAAATTTTTGTGCATAGAAATTGCTGCTATGATAGTGAATGTGTATATGACATAATCTCGCAATTTTCTTTTACCGTACTCAGGTACTTCTCAGTTGATCCGGGTTGACCATGGACACATAATTCCATGAGAACATAAAGGTATTCATTTATCCATATATATTTAAAAGGTTTTCTTTGCTTTGTAGTTGAATATTTTAAAATATCTGATTCAATCAGTGAACTGGAAAATTACCCATATATTCATTAGTTTCTAAAGCCCATTGACTAAAGTCACTGTACTCTGATATCTTTGCATATGCAATTAAAATATTTTGTTTTTTCAACTAAAAATAATTTATGAATCATTGTCTGGCTTATTAATTATAAATCTTTCACTTGGGGTTGCACGTATTGCAACTGCTTTGAAGATACCTCTGTAAATTAACTTTGGTAAACTCTGTAAACAAGTCCTTAAACAGTTTGTGCAAATATGTTTAAAGTGAGAGTCTTTTCTGTCTTGGTTTTAGATGAGGCTTAAAGACAATAGGACAAACGCTTGCAGGAAAGATAGTTAGAACCTGTTGCGAGACTCTCAGCTTCATTCCAATAAAAGATGTTTTTAAATTGTAGAAGGGGAAGTTAGAGACTCAGAAAGCAGATTAGAGAGCTGCTGTAAATTCTACCACCCTACTTCTTCACACAAGTGTAGAAAAGGTTGATTCAGTGGAACCACTTAGATTTAATGGTGCTTAGACTGACCAAGGCCATGAAACCTAAAGAAGATACTTAGCCAGCTCTTCCAAAATCAGTGTGATGAGAAGTTGCTTCTTTGGGTATGGCCTACCCTTCTGTTATGAAGTCAAAAGATGCACTTATGTTTTCCTTATGTGACAAAAGCATAGGACACGAAATAACAAAAGCCAGAACTGGCAGGTAATTACTTAGGTCCTCCTGAAAGATTGCCTAGAGTAGGAAAATAAAACCTCAGCATAAAGAGGATACAGATGTGACTTCACATTGATGATATTTGTCAATGAGAAGGGATTTGTAAAGGTAGGCAGTGACTGTGGGACTGAGAGAAGGTGTGTCTACTGTCAGTTGTCTTCCTCCTTGGACAAAGAAGAGGTGATTCAAAATGCTGGAAGTCAGAGAACACCAATGCCGTATTACCACAACAGAACTGGTTAAGAAAGTCATTTTGTGCTTTTCACCTTCTCTTAATATTCTTATTCCAACTGCAGAAATGCCAGAGGCATTTTAATGTCTAAAGCAGTACAAGTGAAATAGCTAGACAATTAGAAAAAAGTCACAGGACCCTCATTTTCCACTGGAGGCATCCAGTTTGGAGTACGTTCAAAATGAAATTTAAAAAATATTTTTTGTTCTGTTTAGTTAGGATGCACTATTATCCTTACTATTATTATTATGTACTTTACTTTTAGAGTAGTTTTAGGTTCACAGCAAAATTGAGAGAAAGGTACAGAAATTTCTTATGTATCCCTGCCCCCACACATGCAGCAGCCTTCCACACTCAACACCCCCACCAAGAAATGACTTCATTGAAATAAAATAGAAAGTATGATCATTACTCTGGATGGAGATAATCTTTAATGATTGATTGTTGACTTAATAAAACTAGCTTTTTGTTTGTTTATTTGTTTGTTTTAACAAAAGCATGACCAAAGTAGGTATAGTGCCTGCCCAAGATTTCCTCCAAAGGCTAAGGAAGAAGTACTTCCAACAGGGCTTATCTGGAATGGGCAATGATTTCTGAGGTGGAGTACAGTTTGTGCAGAATAAAGGTTCTGGATAAATACATCGCACTCCACATACTAGTAAAAAACAAATCATCCAAAGTTTAAATAGACAAAAAGGAAATACAAATAAAATATTATCTTCCTTTTTCACATTTGTTTTAATCACTACTTAAGCCTTTTTTCTTGGAGTTTTTGGTACAAACTGGAAAACCTACTAGACAAATTCTAAAAGTGCTGTAACATTAATATTTTTTTTGGTAAAGTTTTCATTGGAAAATATCATTTTATGGGATAATTATATAATAAACATATACATATTTTTCTTCATTACTCATTCATATACTCTACTTAGCTGTATTTATTTAATTCTAAAATGTGTGCTTTCATATTGCAACATCTTTAACATCAACATATCTTGCAACCTATGGTTTCTTTCAGTTATGGTGTAACTTTCTTTTTCTTTAATGGTTATATCATACAACTTAACAGCCAATAATATATGAAGCACCTTAGGTGCTCATATTTCAAAGAATGAAGCAACAAATAGAGACAGCAAAAAACAATCAAAGTCCATTTACTTGTACCGCAGGATTACTGTTTAAAGCTCAAAGACATAACAAAACCAGAACAAATTCAAGCCGACAAAGTTTGGAAGACGACTCACCAGAGTTGGGGTCAGAGTTGCCATCCGCTTCAGTCCGCTTGTCCGGAGAGGCCTGGTCATAGAACTCGTCCTGTGGCTGAACCAGAGGAAGAGGGTGTGAGATCAGGGTTCCACTACCCACCGGCTCGTGGTCTCCTAGACCACTGTCACTGCAGCTTTCCTGGGAGCCATCAGGGAGGTGGAACGTAACGCGGCGCTGCGACTACAAAGAAGACCACAGGACATTCCGATTAGCAAGCCTTGCCACAACATGGACCTGGGGAGCATATAATCAAGACACTTTCAACAAATGGCATAGCAAAGAATATTAGTCTAGGGCCTAAGCTAAGACCACGCATTCATTATTTGCCATTTAAAATATCAAAAAGTACCAAATACCAAAACAATTCAGTATTGTATAATTCAAGACCATATAACTAGTTAGGCCTTTGCAAAGTGTTACTAGAAAGGCAAAACAACCTAAACTAAACTAACAGAAAGAACCTTATACTACTTGAAAAAATTATGGAGAAAATTGTAAATAAGAATAAATATGCAAATATGTTTTCTCATAGATCTGAATAATTACATAAATAATGTAACATTCCATTTTTTTTTGAATGACCAAACACTGTACTTACCTGATATTTATAGAACACATTTTGCAATCATATATTTCCTACATTATTGCCTGCTATTTTTAAAGGACAACTTGTATATGTGTCTCTAAAGTGATATTGGAATAATTAATTAAAATTAGTATTTTATATTCTCATGCTCTATTGAGTGAGCTAGCTCTGCTAAAATTCTTATTTTGAATAGCCAAGTTCTCACAGTTTGTATGAATATGCATGAAAACAAGATCATATTTTAACAGATTAAATTAGTAAATTATTCTTGCCCATTGACCCAGATATTATGAGCAATCTTTGGTTATATTTGTCATAGAATAGAATATCCTAGCTGAAAGGTGTTGGAATATGACTTTGGCATCTCTGAGCAATGTGACTCTCAAAGCGACCTAAATGATATCTATGGTTACTTCAGTGAATTTTAGTGTTTTAACAAAAGTTAAATTGGACATTTGTTTCAGCAAAGATTGATTTCATTCTCTTGGTAAATATTTATTTTAACTGATGTAATCTATGAGAGATAAGAATATTTACAGTGATGTGGAATGAATTGTATGGCCTTAGGGAATTGTATGGGGGGTAAATTTGTGACATAGAACTGAACCTAAGTTTCATTCTGCTTAATAGCCAAAGACCTTTGAATAACATGCCACTTATTATTATTCAGACTAACATGATGAACATATAAATAATAAAACATATAATATGTAAGTATATAATACATGATACAATCACTTTTAGTACCCCAAAATTGTGTTTTTCAAGAGACAGTATATAGATTACATAAATTTCAAAGAAAAATAATTGCAGTTGGAAACAAAAAACTACAGATAGATACATGGCAACTCTATATATACGTTCTTATAGACTGATAATAGAACAGAGTCTATTTCCTGTGAGTCCTTGGTTCAAACCCAACTCAAAGTCATAATAGAGAAGAGCTGATACCACTTTATTGCTGTTCAATAAACTGTGTGAAATGAAGAGATAGTTCAGTACATTTTTTTGAACTGACTCCAACATCACATAAACTATAATCATAAATGGTACTCATAGCCTCTGTGGTGGCACGTTTCACCTCCATGCACATCTGTCTCATGAACATCATTCCATCTCAAAGGTTTTGAAATGTGCCTAGGTGAATGCCATAGAAAAGCCAAGCCAAACTGAATGTTAGTATCTGAAATGTGTTTCTCCTTCTAAAAGAAAGGTCGTGCTACCATTTTAATTTATTGTTGTGCTGCCTCTGTCATGTGTACTTAACCTTCTAGGGAAAATAATATAAGTATGTGCAGTTTATGTTTCAACATGCCCTTAACCTATCAGTATCCTTTTGTAATGAGGATGGTACTGAGGACCACACCACCCATTATATATTACTAAAAGTTCACAAATTTTAAGGTGTCTTTGGCGTTATCTTGGAGGAATCCCTCTTAGCTCCAGTGAGTAAAAATAAGTCAAGACATGAGAAAAAGGCAGTGGAATAAATGATTCTGCAGTCATTTTTTTTGAGTTGGAGTTTCACTCTGTCGCCCAGACTGGAGTGCAGTGGCCGCTCCCAGCCACCTCGACCTGCTGGACTCCGAAGATCCTTCCGCCTCAGCCTTCCAAGTAGCCAGAATTACAGGTACGCGCTACCACGCCCGGCTGATTTTTTGATTTATTGTAGAGATGAGGTCTCGCTGCCCAGGCGGGTCTCGAACCCGCAGACTCAGGCAATCCACTCACCTCAGCCTCCCAAAGGCGCGGGATTACAGGCTGAGCCACTGAGCCCGGCTGATTCTGCAACCTTTATAAAGCATTTCTGGATGTCTCATAAGCCTTTAAGAAATATAGCTTTTGGCAGTTTCTTTTGCCCATGCCAACTCTGGCATGTTTCTGTTTCTTTTCTCCTTTTTCTCTAATAAACTTTGTTTGAAAGCTAAAAAACAAAAACAAGGAAGCATAGCTTTCATAGGCAAAAAAAAAAAGGGAAGAACAAAATATCACTGATATTTTTATAAACTCAATTAATGCTGCTTTTCTTATCTTCTAAGAAATGTCCAAATAAGTAACACGAGTATTCCTTAATCCAGCAGGACTTGCAGTGTGGTCATTAGAACAATTATTCATTGAACATTTACTATATTTCTGGCACAATGATCACACTGAAAATAAAAAGCAAAATGTTTTCTAAAACCATTTCAAATACAGCTGATTAGACTCCATCTCACATACACTATACTAAGATATTTCTTTAACACTTTATAAGTGAAAATCAGAAAAGATGTAAATTTAGTGTAATTTATTTGCAATGAGGCACTGTAAATTAGAGTGATATAATGTTTAAACTACTGTGGCTTATGAAAATATTTCAGGATTAATTTGACTCAAAGATGTTTAAGTCTTAATTGGAAGAATTGTGCACAATTTATCAATCTGATGGAAGGTGGGGGTGGTGATGCATATGGACTAAGAATTGGTCCATGGATATTATGGTGTGAAGTAAGTTGATTGAGCAAATCAGTCTGATTTATCATCATAATGATTGATGCAAGTAGAAGAAGGAGCTGTCAAGGCAGATGTAAGGAGAAGTTCTGAATAAATTGAAATGTAGAAGAACGAGAACAGTGATATGTTAGAAAACAGAGTTTGGGGTGTCTTTGAGAACTCAAGAGTACTTGCTCAGGTGCCAAGTGAGAAGCCAGAACCAGACCTTGTGGCTTGGATTTCTTACTCTGCAGAGACTGGCCCAGGGCAGGGTACTTTATCTCTCTGAATGAATTCCCAGCTTTGAAAAATGAAGAAAACGATGCTTTGCTTATAGAAGGCTACAAATAGGTAAAGCAAGTATTTCTGGTGTGTGATACTAGGTATTTAATAAAATGTAGTAATAATTCTTGAAATTTAAAGTTACATATTAGTTTTATCTATCAACATTTGGGAAGTTTTAAAGATAGGATTATTTCACCCCAGGGGTGTCAGGGGAGCTTTGTTCTTTCACAAGAGAAATTCGGGGACCACACAATGTTGGCATGCCTCACAATGCCCTCTAGATCTTGTCAACTCAGGGTCTTCTCTGAGGTGAAGCCGCTCTTAGGTGAAGGTGAGGGTTGGGGAAGACTAACAGTCGAGAATATGTGGTTTCTTTTGGGGGAAAGCGAAAGCTTGCCCATCATTCTTTCAAGAAACCTATGAGTGTTTATTCAGAGAGCAAAAAGAGGGAGAAGGTTTTACTTGTTGCCTTTGAGAATTTTGTGCCTTTACTCATCTTCATGAAAATAGGCCCAGTCAGGGTTATAAATGTACTCAAACCTTACTTGACTGAAATGGGACAATGAATGCTATAATGAGTCAACTTCAGACTTTCCAGAGCATGGGCACTTATGTTTTGTTTTCTTAAATCTATCTCTTGCTCATGCAATTTTCTCCCATGGGAATATTATTATTATTATTGTCTCTTTCTGCCTAATGGTTGGCACATCACATTTGTTTACTTGATTTTTCATTGACATAGATCCACATTACTGGCTGCCCTGAGACAGAATTAAGATGGAAACAATAACTACGATGGCTGCTTCACATGATTTTCTGTCAGAACTGCTGATATAAATTCTGACCAGGCAAAGTTGTTTTTTGTTTTGTTTTGTTTTTGAGTTGGAGTCTCACTCTTGTCAACCAGGCTGGAGTGCAGTGGCATGCTCACAGCCACCGCAACCTTGACCTGCTGGGCTCCGATGATCCTTCCACCTCAGCCTTCCAAGTTACTGGAACTACAGACATACACCACCATGCCCGGCTAGTTTTTGTGATTTATGGTAGAGATGAGGTCTCACCAAATTGCCCAGGCTGGTCTCGAACCCCCAGGTTCAGGCAATCCTCTTGCCTCAGTCTCCCAAAGTGCTGCTGGGATTACAGACTGAGCTACCGCACCTGACCAGACAAAGTTTTCATCAGAGGTTCTACTCCACACAAACTAAAATTGCTGTGTTCACATATGGGTGTGTCCCAGATACTGGAGGTCAGAAGTTGCCACATAGGTTGGGTTTTAGAAATATCATGAACAAGTTCTATGATATATTTTTCATAAGTTTAGTAGAAAGGCAAAAGAGGAAAAATTCAAGATATCTAGGAAGGATATACACATTCCTGTATTGAACACTATTCTTTGAGTCACTGAAAGAATGAGTCATCTAAAAAGTCCCAATCAATGCTTGTATGCCCCTCTTTTGTACTTCCTACTGTTATGGAATGGTATTCACCAATGAATGAATCACATTCAAAGCTACAATTTCAGTTACATGAATCTGGAGGAATACCCATGTGCAAAGATTTGGTGGTAACTTTCATTGTTTCTTTGCAAAAAAATAGCAAAAAGAAAAAAGTGAAATGTCTAACAGGTGATTAATACATTATGTAATATCACAGAATTGAAATATTATATAATACTTACAATTTTGTTGATTGATATTTAATATGAAAAATATTTATAAACTATTTTTATGTGTAATAATCAAGTTAGTAAATATTTTGCTAGGTTCAATTGCATGTTGTTAGTGTGACTTCGTATGGGAATGTGCATAAACTAGTTCCTTTTTAAAATGTTTT